ACTTCAGTCTTTCTCCATTGATAAGAATGTTGTTTATTGGCTAGTGGTGAGGATTTTTGTTTTCTTTACATTGAGATGCAATCCATACTGAAGGCTGTGCTCTTTGATCTTCATCAGTAACTATTTTAAGTCCTTTTCACTTTCAGCAAGCAAGGTTGTATCATCTGCATATCACAGGTTGTTAATTGGAGTCTTGCTCCAATCCTGATGCCACATTTTTCTTCATATAACCCAGATTCTCGTATTATTTGCTAAGCATACAGGCTGAATAAGTATGGTGAAAGAATACAACCCTGTCGCACACCTTTCTTAATTTGAACCATTCAGTGGTCGCATGTTCTGTTTGAACAACTGCCTTTTGGTCCATGTACAGATTGTATGGACTGTTTTTGTTGTTGTTATGTGCTGTGGAGTCAGTTCTGACTCATAGCGACCCTGCATAGGGTTTCCGAGGCTGTAAATCTTTATGGGAGCAGATAGCCTCATCTTTCTCCCACGGAACAGCTGGTAGTTTTGAACTGCTGACGGTGAGATTAGCAGCCCGATTTGTAACTACTACGCTACCAGAGCTTATTGAACAGACTGCAATGTCCAAAATGGCCTCTTCACTTACACGTCTATTGATTTGATGCTTTTCACATAGACTTTCCTCTATGTGGCGTATCCTTCTCTAGGGCCTCTCCGTGCAACTTCTCTTGGTAGCTGGCTCCCAAGAGACAAAAAGTGGAAGTGGTCAGGCTTTCTTTGGGTTGGAACTGCTTCATTGTATTGCTTAGAAAATGAGGAGGCTATTATAAGTTCTAAGAGTTGTTTCTTGTTCTCTGATTATTCTTGTTTTATACATGTAATATGTTCTTAAATATTTTCATTAGCTATTTTGATGTTCTTTAGTCCCCCTCACTCCTATATCTGTTTTTTTAATATAAATTTTTCCTTAGTTTATCTTAATTGTGTTTTTCTTTAAGAAAATTCTCAAATAACTATTTTTCGTTGCTCATTTGCAATTAAATATATACTTGTGTGAGTGTTTGTGTGTATTTTTCCACCTTTATGATTCATTCATATGTGATTGAGATGTTTACTGAAAAGGTTGGGAATTCTCAACCCCTACGGACTCCTGGTGTTGCACTGTAGGATAAGAACTAAACTGTAAGGTCGGTTTGAACCACAGTGTTGGCAGTTCAAACCCATCAGCTGCGCTTCAGAAACCCTATACAGGGTCACTATGAATCAGAACCAACTCAGCAACATTTAACAATAACAGTAGTATCTACAAAGCTTATAGCTCTAGGTGCCCTTCCCCACTGATTACCCTTCCTCTACTTACTGTGGGACCCCTGGTGTGTTGCTGTAGGATAAACACTAGACTGCTAATTGCAGGGTTGGCAGTTCAAATCCACCAGCCTCTCCTTGGAAACCCTCCCCTGTACAGGGTCAGTATCAGTTGGATCCTCTTTGACAGCACTTAACAACAACAGTGTGTGACTGAGTTCTCTTTTCTTACGGTGCCCCTTCTGCTTTTTTTTTTTTTTTAATTGTGTTATATAATGTTTGTTTTTAACTGAAATATTAATGGAATCCCAGGAAAGAGAGAAAATAGGAGATGTATATGAGAGAACTTCAAAACGTTAGTGGAAAATGGAAAAAAACAGAATAGTTTTTCACAGACTTTTTGAAATCTGCTCTCCCCACCCCCAGTATATTTTGTGCTCAGTTTTCTCTCTCTAGAGTACCTGAAACTTGTTTGACATAGTATCTGTAGAACTATGTTCTTGCTTTCTCTTTTCACAGGTTCTCTTTTCTGCCCTCTGAAATATGAAGGGGCTTAAAAGTTCCTGGAAAAATTCCATTATCTTTTCATTTTTCCAGGAGCTTTTGTAAAGATGCCTCTTTTTTCACTGGATACCAGCTTTCTATTTTTCCTTCCAGAAAGGATTTGCGGGGATGTGGATGGAATGTTCCTTGAATACTCATTGTTGGTTTTTATCATTCATTCAACAAATATGTGTGACTATTCTGGTGTGGTGGTGCTGTGGGATCACTACTGGACTGTGAACCACATGGTTGGCAGTTCAAACTCACCAGCTGCTCCTTGGAAACCCTATACAGGGTCTCTGTGCAGTGGCACTTACTAACAATTCTGTGTAAAGTACTTAAGAGCTGAGGGTCCGTAGGTGAACAAACACAGCGGTAACTCTTGTCTTGATGGAGCTAGGGAGAGAATTCAAAGTTAGGAGATTGAACTGTTGCTTTTTAGAATCATCTCTTTTCTCTCTGGTTCTGACGGCCACATAAGAGCTCATCAAAGGCAGGCCTCTCCTGTATATAAGAGAGTGGCCTTTGCCAGCTGTAATTGTAGTTGGGACAAATACAACAGAGTGTAGGGCATTGCTCCAACAGTCTTCTGGCAGCTCTGGTCTGTTTTAGTTCTCCATCTCATTGTCTTGTAATTCAATTGGAAAAACCATTCTACTAACTTATAACTTAACCAGTGATACCCTCTGCATTAGTTGAATTGAGTTGTGGTTTTCTCAAAATCAGCATAGTGATTCCATCTGTGTTAATGTCTTCTAAAATGTTCATTGACAATTATCCTTCTTGTTTTTATTTTTCCCCCAGTGCTGTGAAGGACTTATAATTTCTTATAAAATTTTTTGGCCATTTCTGTGGTGTTTTGGAAATAAGACTACATCATGAACTGAAAATCATCTTAAGGTTTTGCAATGCTAATGTGTTTTCGGATCTCAGTGTTCACATTTGTAAAATAAAGGACTTAGACTGAATCAATGGTCACAGAGCTTATTGCGAGTCAGAATCACCCAGAGAGCTTTTAAAAACATTCTCAGGAGTAGTAGGCTTTGAAATGAGCATTTATAAAATGTTGTGTCCGTCATTGATACTCCCAGACTGGTGTTTGGGAGTTTAGTGGTCTTTTTTTTTTTATTTTTTTTTATTTTTAATGTCATATTTTGGAATGCACGGTTGAGGGAAATGAAAGGATAAACCACAACATTTTGGGAATTTGTGTACTTTCCTCATTCAGTTTCTAGGAGATAAATAACAAATGTTTCAAGAGATGCAGATTTAAAACAAATACAAGTATATTCTGCATGGACATGTGTCTTCCCCAACCCCACTCCCACACAGAATTCTCCAACTCCCTAATCCAGAACAGTTACCAGTTACACCCTTTGAGATAATGACTTCTTTTTGTTTTGTTTTGTTTTTTGTTTTTAATTAATGATGCTATGAGATGATCTAAGAATAGATTCCTAAATACTGCCAAGATCTTTTGATCTAATGTCATCTCTGTATCTTAGTTTCTTGACCTCTTAGGTATTCTGTCCTATCCTAAGCCCAGTTTTTAGTTAAAAATGTAACTAAGTATTGCACTCTGGAGAATAACACTGTAGCCCAGGGGACTTGTTTTTCTAAACTCTGCCAAAAGTAGATATGAAAGCTCCTACTAAAATCCTGTAAGATTCATTTGAAATGTAAAGTTATAGAGAAATATTCTGTAGTATATGCATATTTGTTCATTTTTTTTAAATTGGCATTTTAGTGATGTGTGGTGATCATTTATAGTAATCAGTTTTGTGAAGAGGTTCACAAATGTATTATTTCTTTATAGCACATTTGACCTTTAAAAACATAAGATAGTTTAATTTATGGAAGGATTCAGGCTTTTCTGGGTTTAAAAGATAAATATTTTAAGGAATTGATGGATTTGGTATTGATTTGAAACTTAAAGAAGCCATTGATCTTACTCAAATAGTTATATGTATAAAAATGTTTTCTTATTGTATTTTAAATTGCATTGAGTGATTACTGATGTTTATTTCTAAAACATTGATTAATTGAATTGTTCATAGTTATGTTTCTATTTGTCAAATCAGAGCTAGACTTAAAAAACAAACTCATTAACTTTCTTAAGCTCTTTGTTCTTGGAACTACAGTGACAGATAACTGAGAAAGTGCTCTGATGAACTTGGCGTGTGCTTAACTTGTTCTGTATAGCCCTGGCAAATTCTTTCTTCATTTCAGAATGGGACAACAGAGGAAGTGACTTCAGATGAAGAAGAGGAGGAAGAGATGGGTGAAGTAGGTATTTTATTTAAGAATAACATTTTATAGTGTCTTCATTTTTTAACTTTATGGTAATCCTCTAGTCTTTTTTGATAAAGTGTCAATGTAGAATAATGAAAACAAATTTGTATTTAGAATTGAATATAATTTCTAAAATCTGGCTTTACTTCTAACTAATGGCATCTCCTTAAACTAATAGCTTATTGGAAGGTCTTGGATTTGAGTAACTGCAGAGTAAGAGCTCTTAACATTTTTGGCACTAAAAATTAGATCTGTATTTACTAATTATACTTACTTTGTGTTTGGAGTCCTGGTTGTGGCGCTGCAGGATAACTCGTTGCACCACAAGGTCTGTTTGAACTGCAGTGTTGGCGCTTCAAACTCACCAGCCACTCCTCAGAAACCTGTACACGGTTGCTATGAGTCGGAACTGACTGGATGACACTTAGCAACAGAACAGCAACAAATCTGTATTTGGTTATTTTTTTAAAAAAGAATTCAAGAACATTTCAGGGACCACTTAAGCAAATAAATGTATGCCTTATGCCAGTTTATGATAGAGCTTTAATTTTATTATTTCTGCACATTACGTATGGACATGTTATTTATATGGACCAATTATTTATGAAAAAAATACAGTACTCATCAAAAGTAATGAAACTACCTCTTATTTAAAAATCATCTAAGAGTGTGGTAGTAGAGATGTGCTGTGGAGTCGCTTCTGACTCATAGCAACCCTGTACAGGGTTTCTGAGGCTGTAAAGCAGAAAGCCTCATTTTTCTCCTACGTAATAGCTGACAGTGTCGAACTGCTGACCTTAGGGTTGACAGCCTGCTGATACATAACTACTACACTACCAGAGCTCCTTCATATAAGAGTGTAGGAGAGCAAATTTCAAAGCTACTCAGCTCAGGCCAGTTATTTGCCTGGGATTGATGTAAATTTAGAGATCCATGAAGTTTGAAGATTTGCGTTTAAATTGATATTTCAGAATGGAATTCCGTGTCTCTGCATTGACCAGATAAAGTATATGTGGTCTTAGTTTCAACATTTTTTTCTGTTTTGTATCTTAGCGTTAATTCAGATTACTTCCCTATTTTCTCGATTTGGAATTTTCTTAATATAAAATATGCTTTTCAAAATACCTCAGTACTAAAGAAGTCATTGCGGGTTTTGTTTTGGGAGTCTAATATTAGGTGTAAGATCATTCTTGTTGTTGTTGTTAAGTGCCGTGGAGTCGGTTCTGACTCATAGCGACCCTGCACAGGGTTTCCTAGGCTGTAAATCTTTACGGGAGCAGAAAGCCTCATCTTTCTCCCACGGAACCGCTGGTAGTTTTGAACTGCTGACCTTGTGGTTCACAGCCCAATTCGTAACCACTACGCTACCAGAGCTCCTTAAGATCATTCTTACTTAATTAGAATGGTTTTGGGGTAGAGAGAATTTGCTTTTAATGTTTTCATGGAATTGGACTTAAGTGGAATAAACTCTGCATGAAAACATTTAATTTAAGACCTTTCTGTGGGTCCACTCTGCTACAAAGTGGACATTGTACTTGTCCTCAAGGAATGTATGTACCTTAAATCTTTTTTTTTCCCCCCATCACAGGATGATAAAAAAGGGGGCAGCAACATTTTGGGGAATATAGATTTTGGAGAATGCCAGGTTTGGGTAGTTAAAAGCTATTCTAGGCTACTAAATCAGTATGGTGGGAAAAGTCTAGAACAACCATTTGTGTGGGTGCAGCGTTTGCTGTCCTTTTGGGACAGGAAGGTTTCAGGGTTGGCTAGAAAAGCAAGTGGTTAAGTCTTGATTTAGAGACAAACATGTGCATTTATTACTGATAAGAAGGCCATAATCAGAAAAGAGTGTGCTGAGAATAATGTTTTAGAAAGATGCTAATGATGAATTCTGTGTCGGACTTCCTGATTAATAGTAGAATGGATGAATGTGACTGAGGTTGAAGGTGTTACCATCATGTGCCATGGAGTTGGTCCCGACTCATAACGAACCCTGTTATACATGGCTTTTGAGGCTACAAATCTTTATGGGAGCAGAAATCCTCGCCTTTCTCCTGCAGAACCACTGGTAGTTTTGAACTGACGACTCGTAACCACTACACTATCAGACCTCCTTAGGTTGGAGGTGTAGAGAAGGAAATACATATACTAATGGCATTTGGGAGAGCTCTGGAGGGAGCAAGTATGGAATGGAAGATAGAACTTGAAATGAGCGTCGGACTGAGTGGGGAGGTCTGGGAAGTCTGGAGTCATGGGCAGAAAGAAATGTAATAGAGTTTCAAGAGAGAATTTTTTAAGTAAAAGTGTACTGAATCTGAGTAGAAAGTGGTCATTGACCTGCTCTACAACTCACAGTGAAGGTGTTGGCTTAAATAGTAGAGGTTGTTAAGTGTTGTAGAGGGTTTCTCAGGAACAGCTGGTGGGTAGAAAGTACAAACTCCTTTAGAGATTTTGGCAATTGATGTAAAGAGAAAGAAGATTATTGAAGAAGATTGATTTCTTTTAAAATCTACAAAGATTTGTGTGTGTTTAAGAGCAGGTGATACGGGAAAGGATGTTGCAGAATGATGTGATGATTAAAAAGGTCAGTCTATAGATATTACTCAGAATCTTTTTTTCCTAATTACAAAGTTAATAGGTGTTCATTATAGAAAACTTGGCAAATATGGAAGAATGCTAAAAATAAATGTCTCCAGAGATAACAGCTATTAACATATCAGTATAATTCATTTTCTGTGCTTATTTTGACATACTTGAAATTCAGTTTTATGTTTTGTTGTTTTATTTCAAAGTTTTATTGATGCTTATGATAATGTGATATTTAATGACTGCCTATTATTAAATGGTATGGCACTGTAGGATAAGCACTGAACTGTTAACTGCAAGGTCGGTAGCTCAGACCTGTACAAGGTCACTATGAGTTGGAACTGACTCAACAACATGTCACAACAGCAGAAACTGTATTCCTTGGGATTGATTTTGCTGTTTTTGAACATGGCAGGTTTTGTATTTGTTTTTACAATTATCAAGTTGAAATGGATTATCAGTATACCTAAATCCACCACTCATCTGCCAGTTTGTCATACTGTGATGGCTTGTGTGTTGCTGTGATTCTAGAAACTATTCCATCGGTATTTTAAATAACAGCAGGGTCACTCAGGATGGACGAGTTTCAGCTGAGCTTCCAGACTAAGACTAGGAATAAAGCGAGGCAAACTATTTCTGAATGTCTAGCCTAGCCACTGAAAAGCTTATGAATAGCAGTAAACTTTGCTGTGCCAGAACAATAACAGTGCCAGAAGATGAAATCATTATGAATAATAGCTCAGAATATTGCCAGTTGTACTGCCAGAAGATGAGCCCCTCAGGTTGGAAGACACTCAAAATATGACTGGAGAAGAGCTGCCTCCTCAAAGTAGAGTTGACTGTGATGACACGAATAGAGTAAAGTTTTTGTAACCTTCATTTGCTGATGGAGCCCATCTGAAAATGAGGATAAACAGCTGCAAATATCATTAATAATAGGAACATGGAATATACAAAGTATGAATCTAGGAATTGAAAGTTGTCAAAAATGAAATGGAACACAAAGACAGATTTACTAGACAATGAGCGGAAATGGACTGGTATTGGCTATTTGAATCTGGCAATCATATGGTTTACTTTGTTGGGAATGACAAATTCAAGAGGAATGGTATAGCGTTCATCATCAAACAGAACATTTCAAAATCTGTCTTGAAATACAATACTGTCTGTGATAGGATAATATCCGTATGCCTACAAGGAAGACTAGTTAATAGCACTATTATTCAAATTTGTTCACCACTAAACATTAATGATGGTGAAATTGAAGAATTCTGCCAACTTTCTCAGTCTGGAATTGATCAAACATGCAATCAAGATATATTAGTAATTATTGATGATTGGAATACAAAGATTGAAACAAAGAGGAAGGATCAGTAGTTGGAAAATGTGCCACTGATGATAGAAATGATGCTGGAGATTTCATGATAGAATTTTGCACACCAGTGACTTATTCATTGCAAACACCTTTTTCAACAACATAAAAGGTGACTATATACACGGTCCTCACCTGGAATACACAGAGATCAAATTACCTACATTTATGAGAATTAATTGAGTCCTGATGTGGTGGTGTGGGTTGATGTGCCAGACTGCAAAGTCACTTGAACTGCAGTGTTGGTGGTTCAAGCTCACCAGCTATTCCTCGGAAACCCTATACAGGGTCACTGTGGGTTGGAACCGACTCAGTGGCATGTAATAACAACAATGGGAAAATTATTGAATGCAGAAAGCATCAAAAGATGAGGGAAAGAGTATACACAGATCACTGTGCGAAAAAGAAATGGTTCATGTTCAACCATTTCAAGAGGTCGCACATGATCAAGAGCCGATGGTACTGAAGAAAGAAGTCCAAGCTGCACTCATGGTATTGGTGAAAAACAAGGTTACAGAAACAGACTACAAATTGAACTCTTTCAACAAACTGATGCAGCACTGGAGACACTCACTCATCTATGCCATGAAACATGGAAGACAGCTATCTGGTCAATTGATTGGAAGAGGTTCGTATTTGTGCCCATTCCAAAGAAAGGTGACCCAATGGAATGCAGAAATCATCAAACAATGTCATTAATATTATATGCATGTAAATTTTGCTGAAGATAATTTAAAAGTGGCTACAACAGTATAGCTACAGGGAACTGCCAGAAGCTCACACTGGATTCAGAAGAGAACATGGAACGAGGAATATCATTGCTGACATCGGATGGATCTTGGTTGAAAACAGAGAATACCACAAAGATGTTTACTTGTACTTTATTGACTATGCAAAGACTGTGTTGGATCATGGCAAGCTGTGGCTAACATTGTGAAGAATGAATATTCCCAAACATTTGGTTGTTGTCTTCAGGAGGGACCTGTACTTAGATCAAGAGGCACCCACTGGAACAAAACAAAGGGTACTGAATGGTTTAAAATTAGTAAAGATGTGCACCAGGGCTGTGTATTCTTTTGCTATACTTAGTCTGTATGATAAGCATATAATCCAAGAAACTGGATTATATGAAGCAGAATGTGACATCAGGATTGGAGGAAGACTCATTAACAACCTGCAATATGTAGATAATACAACCTTGCTTGCTGAAAGCAAAGGACTTAAAATGTTTGATGATGAAGATTGCACATCAGTGTAAAGAAAACAAAATACCTCACAATTGGACCAGAAATAACATAAATGGAGAAAGATTGAAGTTGTCAAAGATTTTATTTTGCTTGGATCTACAATAACACTCATGAAAGCAGCAATCAAGAAATCAGATGACGCTGTATTAGGCAGATCTGCAGAAGACCTTTGTTATGTTCAAGAGCAAAAGATGTCAGTTTGAGAACCAGGGTGTACCTTACCCAGACAGTGGTGTTTCCAATAACTTCATGGTTATTGAGGTTCCCTGAATGGGAAAGTTGGACAATAAAAAGGAAGACTGTAGAAGAATCTATGCATTTGAGTTACAGTGTTGGAGAAGAATACTGAAGGTTTTGTGGCCTGCCAGAAGAACAACCAAATCTGTGTTGAAAGATGTACAGCCAGAATGCTCTGTAGAAGCAAGGATAGGGGAATTTTTGTTTCTCATATTCAGGGCATATTATCAGGAGGTGCCAGGTCCTGGAGGACACTATGCTTAGGAAATTGGAGGACCAAACAAAAGAGAAAGATTCCCCCAAAGAAATGGATTGACACAATGGCAGAAGCAATGGGCTCAAGTACAACAATTGTTAGGATGGCACAAGAAAGACAGCAGTGCTTTGTTCTGTTGTGCATAGAGTCACCATGAATCAGAGCCAACTCTATGGCACCTAACAGCAACCGCTAACATAACTAAATCTTTGCCTATATATATTTTTACTGTAGTTTGAGGAGAAGTTTACAGAGTATATTTGTTTTCCATTTAACAGGTTTTTTTTAAGGCAAAAAACAGCATAATAGATAAAGATGGACATTATGTCATGATTAAAGGGACAATTGAGCAAGATGAAATAACCATAATAAATATCTATGCTCCCAATGAAAGAGCTCCAAAATATATCAAATAAACTCTAATAGATTTGAAAAAAGAAACAGATGAATCTACAATAATAGTGGGTGATTTTAATACACTGCTTTCAAAAATGGATAGAACAACCAGAAAGAAACTTGACAAAGACACAGTCAGCCAACTGGACCTCATAGATGTGTACAGAGCATTCAACCCAACAACTGCACAATAGACATTCTTTTCCAGTGCACATGGAACATTCTCCAGAATAGACCATGTTTTAGACCACAAAACAAATCTCCATAAATTTACAGATATCAAAATACTACAAAGCATCTTCTTAGACCACAATGCTATCAAATAGAAATCAACAATAGGAAGACCAAGGAAATAAAGTCAAATACCTGGAAGCTGAATAACACCCTTCTGAAAAGTGACTGGGGGTAGTAAAAGAAATTAAACGTGAATTCACAAAGTTTCTAGAAATAAATGAGAATGAAAACGCAACATACCAAAATCCATGGGACACGGCAAAAGCAGTGCTGAGAGGACAATTTATTGCAATAAACACACACATCCAAAAAGAAGAAAGAACCAAAATTAACACATTAACACAGCATCTACAACACTTAGAAACAGACCAACAGAGGGAACCCACAGCCACCAAAAGAAAAGAAATAATAAAGATTAGAGCAGAAATAAATGAGATAGAAAAAAAAAAGAAACAATCAACAGACAAGAACCTGGTTCTTTGAAAGGATTAACAAAATTGACAGACCATTGGCAAACCTAACAAAAGAAAAGAGGGAGAAGACACAAATAACACGCATTAGAAACCACATGGGCGATGTCACAACAGAACCAAAGGAAATCAAAAGGATAATAACAGAATACTATGAAGAGTTGTACTCCATTTAATAGTTTTTGTGAGGGGTTCAAAAAGTTTGTGGAAAAATAGAATTAAAAGATAATAGAATTCTGGTGGCAGTCTCTTCAATGTAACACCATTCTTCCTACTTTCCCTCAATCAGTTCCTCATTCATTTCCCATTGTCCTTCATTCCTGCCCCTTTCTGCTCTCTGAGCTTTGTTTTGGGCAAATACTGCTCTTTTGGTCTCCTATGGTTGGTTTGAGAAACATATCCCTTATAAGTGTGATTGTTCATTTTATAGACTTAGCTATTGTTTGGCTGAAAGGTAATATCCCGGGAGGCAGGTTTAGTTACAGGTTTGAAGGGTGTCTGAGGTCTTGTAGTCTTAGTGGCTCTGCCAGTGTATCAGACCAGAATGTCAAATCTTTTTTTATGCTTTAAATCTTATTCTGCATTTTTTACCCTTTCCATTTTGTCCAGGAATTTCTGTTCTGATCCAGATAGAGAGAGTGGTCAGTAGTAGTAGCCAGGCTCCTTCCAGTTCTGGTCTTCAGCTAGTGGAGACTGGTTCTTGTGTTTCTGATTTTCTTCATTCTTCTTTGCTCCAGATTGCAGGAGACCAATAGTTTTATCTTATATGGCTGCAAGCCAGATTCCAAGAACACAGTCCTTGTGGACTATGTTAAGCCACTTTACCTAGGTGTCCCTGAAATTATGGTCATAAGTCCCCAAGGGCAGTAACTAAGTCCCTCAAGTTATTTTAAGTGTGTCTACATTTTAGACTAGTTTCTAAGAATTGGGTCAAGATACTAGAACAAAGTATCAACAGTTAAGCCTCCTGATAACTGCCCCCCCCAAAAAAAAACAACAACCCCAAAACCAACCAAACAAACAAAAACAAAACGCCAGACTTTCTGCCATTGAGTTAATTATGACTCATGGCTTCACCCTATAGGACAGAGTTGTTGTTAGTGCCGTCGAGTCAATTCCAACCCATAGCGACCCTGTATAGGGTTTCTGAGGAGCAGCTGGTGAGCTTGAACTGCCACCTTGCAGTTCAAACGGCTTTTCAGTCTGGTTAATACCCACAGCGCCACGCCAGGACTCCATAGGACAGAGTAGAACTCCCAAAGAATTTCCTAGGAGGCTGTACTCTTTATGGAAGCAGACTGCCTCATCTTTCTGCTACTGAGTGGCTTAGCGCTAAGCACGTACTCCCTGTACCACCAAGACTCTTGTTGCCTGCTGCTACATTGTTTCAGAAACTTCTCTTAATAGAAAATTTAAATGATTTACCTGCGAATAGCGCTGCCTTTGTTAAGTTACTAAATAGGCTTTACTCAGATTTTAGTTGTCAAACAAAGTTTAAGGTATGAAAGAGGAAACCTTTAGAATTGACTAGGGAAGCTTTTTTCTGCTCCCCATAGAACAGATGCATTCTCTCTTTTCTGTTCCCCATTGAATCAAGAATAATTTAACTTTTGGCCTAACAAATTGAAAAAAAAAAAATGGCTTAACTAAACTAAAAAAAAATTTTTAACTTACTGTAGGATATAGAAGACTTGGATCACTATGAGATGAAGGAAGAAGAGCCTATTAGTGGAAAAAGGTCAGAAGATGAAGGAATTGAAAAAGAAAATTTGGCAGTATTAGAAAAAATTAGGAAGACTCAGAGGCAAGACCATCTAAATGTAAGTATGTAAAGTGTATGTACAGGTAATCATGTAAATCTGGAGCAGTTCATTAAGATATGGATCTCAGCTCCCCTCCTCCATCCATGCCTTGGTTGTGGGTTTTCTTGCCCTAGTTTCCCTTCCCCATCTATTCATAGACACTTTCTACCCTGTTCACCTAATCTTCCAAACCTGGAAGTACCTGCTATTCCCTATATAGATAACCCTTTCAATCCTGTTTATATGTGTTTTTTCTGGTTACCTTCATTTCAGGGTATCTCTGTATTTAAATTTCAAACCCTCCTATAAGGTACAATTCAAATTCTTTCTCTTTTATAAAGCTGACTTCTGAGTTGTTCTGCTTTTACCAAACCAAATGTAGTTTTGCTTCCTGAATTTCCTAAGGCTTTTGCTTCATTTTAACGTGATACATCTTTTATTCAAAGCAGCACCAAGATCAAAATGCTCTGCCATTGTGTTGATTCTGAGTCACAGTGATACTATATATTTTTAGACTGAATGTTTACAGGAGCAGATAGCCCTATCTTTCTCCTGTGAAATGGCTGGTGGATTTAAACTGCTGACCTTACTTAGCAGTTCAGTGCCTACCCACAGTGCCACCAGAGTGTCTTCAAAATCATTACAGGGGAGTGAAATGAACACTGGGTTTGGTGACAAACATACTTCTGTGACTTTGATTTACTCAAGTCTAAAATGTAGTCAACATAGGCGGGCCTGATTCAAGGAAACGCGGATAGGTCTCCTGTGATGCAAGGGTGAATAATTGTTACCAGGGACTGATTCTGAGGGTTGTAAATGTAAAAGTGGGCATTTTGTGGCAAGGAGGGGAGTGATTGACTTTGCAGGCTGGGAGCAGAGGTCCCTGGAACCATAAAGGGAGAAGAGCGGAGAGCGGAACCCAGCCCAGAGAGGCAGCAATCCCCGAGATGGAGGCAGAGATGATGACGTGGAGAGATGGAGCAGCTGGGAACTCAGGACCCAGGGAGGAAGAAGGGCTGTGTGCTGATGACCAGGGGTGGGGGCGGTGGGAAGGGGAAGCAGGCTTATAGGATGTATCCTTTCGTTGATTGGTGATGCGTAGAGGAGATTGTAACCGTGGCAATGAAACAATATACGATAAGATGAATATAAAACTAATGTTCTCCCATGTAAACTGTCACATAATTCACAATAAAACTTTAAAAGTAAATAAATACATAAAAGGTAGACAACACATACCTTTTGAATTGCCAGAGTAGTTGAATATCAGATGACCGTCTGGTCAACACTCACTATTCCTGCCTTGTATTGTAGTTATTTATTAACCCCATGAAACATGAGGACCAAGTTCCTTGTCTTGAGTACAGGTTCTCAAACACTGGGGAAGAATTCTTATGCAACTAGATGCCCAGTGTTATAAACGGGTAGATTACACAGTCTCCTTCCATCTTACTATGTTAATTTAAATTGGCAAATCTTTTTCTTTTAAAAGAAAATCATTTTAGCCTAGCTCACATCTTGATTGGAATCCTGGTGTGGTGCTGTATGATAAGAACTGGACTGCCAACCTGGGTGGCTTATTCAGACCCACCAACTGCTCCTTGGAAGCCCTAAACAGGGTTTCTATGAGTCAGAATGGACTCAGCAGCACTTAACAACAAAAACACATCCTGATTATTTTTAAAAGTTTGTGGCATCAGAATGAATGATACTTTGTGTTTTGTGATTGAGTTTGTTGATTTGAATGATAATGAAAACAGTTATAAATGCTTGAACAGTTTTTCATTCTAGGCGTTATGCTAAGTACTTAGACTTTATATACTTTCTCATTTAATCTTCTGTGTGAAATAGGTATTCTTTACATGTGAAAACCGGGGTTCAAATCAGGTAATGTGTTCAAAGTCTTTATAGCTAGGAAATATTTATAAATATTTTTTCCCCTCAAAGTATTGTGTAGCATATAAAATTTTTCGTTTTACATAGAGTTGCTGTTTGGTTTGTTTGATCTTACAATAAATAGGTTAGTTCCTTCTCAGTCCTCAGTATTCAGATGTTGGCATAGTTTCATTTCTGGAGAGATCCCAATGCTAAGTGACACCAGTTACATCCAGGCAAATAGGTTGTTTCTCAGGTTCTTAATATAGAAATGAGACCTTCAAACTGTCAGTAACACTTTAACTTACAGTCAAAATTTTCAGAACAGATTCATACTAAATTCTGTGTTGGTCTAGACTTTCTTTTTCCTCTTCCTCTCAAATAATGGATCAACCCATCTTGTCCCTAGATTTTTATTAATGTTAAAACTTCATTTAATTCCATTTAAATTTTTTAGCTTCTTAAAATGTTTAGTGGTGATTCAGTTTTACAATCTCATGTAAGCGTCTATCGCTGGTTCAAATGCCTTAAATGTTTAATTATTTGAGATCCTGATAAACAGAGAGTTTTATGTTTCAGGGTGCAGTGTCTGGGTCAGTGCAAGCTTCAGACAGACTTATGAAAGAGCTCAGGGACATATACAGATCCCAGAGTTACAAAGCAGGTAAGGACCTCTAGATATCTGCTGCCTTCGTTTTCTTATGCTCTTTTCTAGTGTCATATAATGTCATTTCTTATAAGTGGAGTGAATAGGATTGAAAATGTTGTATTAACATTGTAGGGATGTGAAACTCGAATTTAATGAAGTTACCGAAAGAATTTAGTGGGTTAAAATAGAATGAATTTACCTTTTATTGCCCTTTTTGTATACATTGTTTCATTTTTTATTTTATTCCAAATGGGGGATAATCCATATAATTTTTACCATCTGGGAAAAAACATAAGTAATATGTTTTCAAAGTAAATTATTATACAAAGACGATTGTGAATTTGATTATGATTGGCCACCCCTTTTGGAAAATAACATAATCAACTCTTAATATTTGCATGCTGTTGTATCTGCCTGACTCCTAGCAACCCTGGGGGGCAGGGCGGGGGTGTGAATCACAGACCTTGCAGTTAACCATCAAGTCAGTGTACCCTACTGCACCACAGAGATAATTGTATTGATATTTTATGGTAAACAGAAAAGTTGAACTTGTCAAGAATTTTATTTTACTTGGATCTACAATCAACACTCATGAAAACAGCAGTCAAGAAACCAAACAACATGTTGCATTGAGTAAATCTGCTACAAAAGACCTCATTATAATGTCAAAAATCAAAGATGTCACTTTGAGGATTAGGTGCTCCTGACCTAAGCCATGGTACTTCTTTTTATATCCCCCCTGCTTGATTTCATTGCTTTGTTGTTGTTGTTAAGTTGTGGTTTGGGTGAAAGTTTACAACACGTATTAATTTCCCATTTGTCTCAGTATATACACATTTTGTTTCATGAGTCATGGTATTTTCAGTCACCTCATATACATGAGAGAGTTGGACAAGGCGTAAGAAAGACCAAAGAAAAAATTACTTATGGCATTAGTGACAAATATTAAATGTGCCATTGACTGTTAGAAGAACTGCAAAACCCATACGGGAGCCGTATCTGACTTCTACTGGCTTCAAACTGGGAAAGAGAATGAAACTCAAAATCAGCGCAATTCCTATAAAGTGAAGGTCAGACCTGCCTCCACCCTACAACCTTCTTTACCCTATTCTGACACCAATCATCTCCGCTTCACATCTGGGTTCAGCAGTCCATTGCAGTGGCCACACAATTCATAGCAATACTCATGACTGTGGGTGTACTAGGGAAGTCAATGGTTTACAGTTCAGGAAAAAAAAATAACTCAGGATGCAACAGTTTTCCAATCAGGACACCTCTCTTCTGTGCCATTGTCTTGTGCCGGGTTTTCTAGAGACTCAAAATCAGTGAAACATGGTTGTGGTGGTGGTTAGGTGCCATGGAATTGGTTCCGACTCATAGCTACTCTGTTTCAGGTTTCCAAGGCTGTAAATCTTTAGGGGATCAGAAAGCCTCATCTTTCTCCCATGGAACCACTGGTAGTTTCTAACTGCTGACTGCGGGATTAGCAGCCCAATTCGTAACCACTATGCTACCAGAGCTCACTGTGAAACGTGTATATGTATATAAATAAAGACAGGTTTATTTCAAGGAAATGGCTTACAAATTTCAGTCCCAAGGCCCCAGGGGAAGAGAGAATCCCTTCTGTGTGTCCATTATGTTGGAAACAGGACATAGCATCCTTGAATTGATTGACTGTTCATAGCCATGCATCATAGAGTAAAGTATGCCTGTATTAGGTTTCATCAACATGGGAATAAGCACATCCCAACTGCTAAACCTCTGGAAATCTTGGCCTAGTTGAGTTGACACAGAACCCTAACCATTACAATCATAATGCAGGCACGCCTTACTCTTGTCTTTGGCCTCTCAGCCATGTGGGCTCCACAGCCTCTGCCCTATTGGGGAAGTGCTACCAAACTCCTTTAGTCATTCTGTAAATGTCCAAAGGGCACATTTTTCAGGCCAGCTTCCTGCTCATAGGCATACAGTTTTACTCCGTCCATGGGCCTGGATGCTGACAGCTGCTTCATGTTGCTGCTTTTCTAAGTAGGAATCTCACACTCTGCTCATGTTCTTTCTTCTTACTTAATGGTCTGGGTGGGATCGTCTGTTCCTGCTTCTGAGAATGGTTGCTTTTAAACCTAACTGGATGGCAAAACTAACCAATCCCAGCTTTAGAGTTCTGTACACTGTATTTGCATATTTCCACCCAGTCACTTGAAGAGCAAAAGCGTCAGTTTGAGGACTAAGGTGCACCTGACCCATGCCATGGTATTTTCAATAACCACATATGCATGCGAAAGTTGGACAGTGAATACGGAAGACCGTAGAATTGATGCATTTGAGTTATGGTGTTGGGAGGAGAATATAAGAAGTGCCACGGACTGCCAAAAGACCAAACAGATCTGTGTTAGAAGAAGTATAGCCAACAGTGCTCCTTGGAAGCCAGGATGGCCAGACTTTGTCTCTCATACTTAGAACATATTGTCAGGAGGGACCAGTCCCTGAAGAAGGATGTCATGTTTGGTAAAGTGTGGAAGGTCGGAGAAAAAGAGGAAGATCCCCAGCGTGATGGATTGGCACAGTGGCAGCAGCGTTGGGCTTAGGCGTAGCAACAATTGTGAGGTTGGCCCAGGTCTGGGCAGTGTTTTGTTCTGTTGTGCATAGGGTCGCTATGAGTTGGGTCTGACTCAGTGGCACCTAACAACCACAACAACAACCCTATCACTTGGTGGAAATTAAGACACTGGATAGAAAAGCCCTATCAAGTAAATTCTAGGTACCACACGAACAAACAATTCTGCGTTAGAAGAAATGAAGCCAGAATGCTTTTTAGAATGTTATTTCTGGGGAAGGTCATCATACTTGATAAAGCAGAGAGAGCCAAAAAGAGGAAGAGCCTTGCAGTGGCTACAACAAAAGGCTTAACTATAGTTCCAGTTGGGGTGACCCAGAACTAGGAAGTGTTCTGTGCTATTGTACATGGATAGGTTGCTATGAGTTGGATCTGACTTTGTGGCACCTAACAACAATAGTTAGAATATTTTGTTTAAAATAAAGGGCTTTTCTTTTTTACATTTCATAATTTGACTTAAGAATATTCTTTCTTACCCAGTAGGACCAGAATATTGTGACACCTCTCTAACTAAAGATAAAAACTTAAAACTCATGTTGTTACAGGGATTCTTACGGCACTACATAAAGCAAAGAGCCAAACTTTCATTTGTTTGAAAACTTAGCATGATGATCCACTCAAGAATTCTCAAGAATGATTAAATCTGCTTTATAAAGTACAAGATAGCCAAATGTAGCCCTGAACTTTTAAAAGTTTGGTGTATCTTGCCACTCTATAAAATAAACTGAATGTTCTTTTCTTATAATAAATATAAAAGTTGTCTTTAGAAGGAATTGTATAATGTTACATATTTCTATACTGGTTGATCTTTAAATGTTAGTTACTTACTCATTTTAGCATTGTTTGTAGTAGGAAAAAAAATGAACAGCCCAGATGTTGGATAGAATTGGTTAAGTTATGATAATGCTCATAAAATAAATTGCTACAGATTTGTTAAGTAATTATATAAGATTGGCGTTGTTGTTGTTGTGAAGTGCCGCTGAGTCAGTTCTGACCCATAGTGACCCTGTATAGGGTTTCCGAGAAGCAGCTGGTGAGCTGGAACTGCCGACCTTGCAGTTCAAACAGCTTTGCAGTCTGACGCATTAACCCACAGCGCCACAGCAGGATTGACATAGACTTACATAATTTGGAAATAGTCTTGAAAACTGAAGTAGAGTGCTTCATTGAATTGTTAGCATGCACAATAGAGGTAAAAACTGAAATACATGGGATTTTGTATACTCTTGTTTTTTTCCCATTCACAGTTATGGGTAAGAAACTTCTTAAGTCTGTAAAGAATCCTTTTGATTGTAAACTTAATTATCTGTCAGTGGCATGCTAAATTTCAGTGGCACAATATTAATAATATAGCTTAGTTGTTTCTTGTTTTAATAGCAAAAGATACTAACTTTTGATGACTATTTAATGTATACATTTATATTAAAGCAATAGTTATATAATCAAATGAAGCATAAGTAACTGCCCCTATATCTTTACAGGGATTTACTCAGTGGAACTTATAAATGACAGTTTATATGAATGGCATGTTAAGCTGCAAAAGTAAGTGGCCTTTTTATGTTAACTCTCTCTTTGCATGGGTAGATATATCCCCACCTAGTTTGATAATTTTATGCAACAGCTTTGACTTATCATGTTAGACCCATTTCAGTATAGAGTAGTTCTTACATTGTTAAAATTAGCTGTTTCTGAGGCCTAATAATTAAAGTGAGAAAGAGGATAAAAAAAAAACCAAAACTAGCTGTGGTTAAAGTATTTCCTAGAGTCAATGGTGGAGCATAGAAACAAAAGTATATGTAATAACTGAGAATTACTGTGATGTCCAGTTTATAGTTTAAAATATAGGATTTAAGTAAGCAATACAAAACAGTTATATATGATTTGTAGTCTTGAGTGTGGCATTTTTTTTCTTTAAACCCCTTGTCTAGAAATAAAATTTTAGGGAAATAGAGTAAAAAAAATTTTGAGTTCTTGTTTGAGAGAATTATATACATATGACCATGCTAATTTTCTATTTGAATGACTACTAATTTTGACTCTCCTTATGAGAATAGATTTACAATATTTTGAATCTCTTCTGAGATGTTTATTCCTGAGGTTCTGGAGGGACTATGGTAGTGGTGGTCATGTGCCGTGGCATCGGTTCTGACTCATAGCGACCCTGTACAGGGTTTCTGAGGCTGTAAATCTTTACGGGAGTAGAAAGCCTTATCTCTGTCCTGTGGGAACAGCTGGTAGTTTCGAACTGCTGACCTTGCGGTTAACTACTACGCTACTAGAGCTCCTTATTGTTGTTGTTAGTTAAGTGTCTTCGAGTCGGTTCCGACCCATAGCGAACCCTGTACAGGGTTTCCGAGGGTGTAAATCCTTACGGGAGTAGAAAGCCTCATCTTTCTCCCGCGGAGCAGCTGGTAGTTTTGAACTGCTGACCTTATGGTTCGCAGCCCAATTCGTAACCATTACGCTACCAGAGCTCCTTATAGTGACTTATTTTTCTTGGGACATAAAGCAGCTTTAGACCATCTATGTTTGTAACTTGCCTTAGGGGTGAGGTGCCTTTTTTTGTTTAAATTATTTTTCTAATTTGTGTTGGAACTGTTTTTTTGTTTTTGATTTTCTTATCTCCCTTAGGGTTGATCCTGATAGTCCTTTGCACAGTGATCTTCAGATCTTAAAAGAAAAGGAAGGCATAGAATATATTTTGCTTAGCTTCTCTTTTAAGGTAAGAAAATATTAATGGAACTTTCACATGCTCCTAATGATAATACAACTGGTTTGGTAAAACAATTTAGTACTATTATTTGGTAAAGTAGAATATAGTTGTCGTAAGCTGGAGGAAGCAAAACCAGTGATGTGTGTATATCACTGAGAGAGAGAGATTGTTTCAAAGACATGGCTCATGCAGCTGTGGAGTCTCAAATCTGTTGGTCAGGTGCCAGGCTTCTCCTGACTCACATGGTTGCGCCGGGGCTATGGAGCCCCAAATCCAGCAGGTCAGATGGTCCTGCTAGCCCTTATCCCAAGAACTGGAGGAGATCAGGTGATTATGAGTTGGATAAAGAATTTGAAAAGGAGAGCTTGTCAGAATATTCATACCAGGCCATACCCCCAAGGATATTCTCCTTATGTCATATTATAAAATGGAGGATGATTACAAGTTGAGACACTAAGATAACCCAAACTTCTATTTTAATAGACATCCTCGATCATTTTTTTTTTTTTCTTTTGTCTCTGTAACACCTGTTTACTGAGTTCCAGAAGAGCTCCTAACTTTTGATATAGCAGGATTATTCTAAAGAACTGCTTACAACTAGGTAGTTATTGATAGTGTGTAGGGGGTTACATGTTGGGTTGCTAACTGCAAAGTCAACAGTTTGAATCTGCCAGTGGCTCCAAGGGAGAAAGATGAGACTTTCTACTTCCATCAAGAATTAGTCTCAGAGACACCCTGTATAGGATCCCTATGAGTCAGAACTGACTTGACGTCACACCAACACTGCCACATAATCAATTAAAACTTTTTTTTGGGATCACATACTAAAATTAAAAAACCCTGACACTAAATAAGGTGTGTATCTTTCATGTGTATTGAGGTAAATGGTGACCTATTTATTTGGAAGTAATAACTATCAGTGACTTTGTACCTTTTGCTGAGTAGATTTCTTCATTTCTGCCTTACAATAGAAATGTGAGATCATCTGCTTTAGCTGTCAGTTATGCTTGGTCGTTTTCTCTTAGTACTATTGGACTTTGATCATTTATATGTTCCCCACAGTCTTATTTGAAGCTGGTAACAGGGGTAGATACAGGGTTGGAATTATACTGCTTAGTCTTTTTCCCATTTAAAACAATATTTTTGTTCCTGGAAATAATCTGATAAAATGTTTAACTCCCTTACCCACAGATTGATTTCTGATAAAGGTGTTACTTGCTTCCTTTAACCTGTTTTTGTTTGACTGTAGTTATTGGAGGTAGACTTGTTGACATTCCTGCATGAACTGAGAGAGGGTATATGCCATTACTCTGTTCCTCTGTAGGAAGTGAGGCTCAGTCTTCTTGACTTCCTGTTGTCCACCAAGGGACTGACCTCTAACACGCTTGGCAATTTTAGTGAACATTTTTTTGCTTCCGTTCACTAAGGAAAAAAAGTTCTTGTTCTTCTGGAAATCTGTAAGGTTCTGAAAATATGGAAGGTGTCCAAGAATGAGAATTTGCAAAATTCAGAATTGTACTTGGTAACCTGAGGATTAACTGGGGCTTTTTTCCTAACTCACCAGTTTATTCATGTATTTTTATCCATTCAGACAGTTTTTGTCTTTTAATTGGCGCAATTAGTCTGTTTTTATTTGTTATTACTGATACTTAATTTTACATCTATAATTTTAGAAGTGCTCTGTATTGGTTCTTCTTGTTCCATGATGCTTTATCTCTTTCTCTTGATTTCTTCTAAACTTAAGTTTCTCATCTCTATTAGTCTGTTTCTTATCTCTGTTGTTGTTAGTGCCGTCAAGTCTGGTTCAATTCATAGTGACCATGTATAGGATTTACAAGGAGCAGCTGGTTGGTTTAAACTGCTGAACTAATGGTTCCCAGTCCAGTGCTGGTCCTATGGTGACACACTGTAGTTCTGTGCTCCTTTATTTTTCTTTACTACCTTGCAATTGTACCCGTGATGTGGCACTGTGGGTTAATGCGCTGGACTATAATGTCTGTTTTGAACTGCAAAGTCTGTGGTTCAAGTTCACTAGCTACTCCTCAGAAACACTATACAGGGTCACTGTAGGTTGGAACCGACTTGACGGCACTTAACAACAACAACAACCCTGCAGTTGCAACTATATGTTATCTTTGACTTGTCAAATTTGAGTATAAATTGTTTTCCCTTTTCTAATAAATGCAATGACCCTAATACACTCTGATGCTATGTACTCTTTCCCAAATAAGTGCTGTTTTTAGGTTGTTATTATACAGTTAATATTCATTTATGTCTACATATTTGCTCTTTTTAAAAATTTTTCATCCTTCTTGCATCTATCTCTAAGATTGCATCTAAGGATTATATTTCTCCTTCTTAAATAATAGTTCCTTTAGCATGGATCTGCTGTTAAGGAAAACATCTTTACGTTTTTGAAGAGTATTTTTACCCGTTTAAAGTGTTCAAGAGCAAAGATACCAATTTAATGACTAAGGTACATCTGACCCAAGCCATGGTATTTTCAGTAGCCTCAAATGCATGTAAAAATTAGACCACAGAAGAATGGATGCATTTGAGTTATGGTGTTGGAAAAGAATACTGAAAGTACCGTAGACTGCCAGAGGAACAAACTAATCTGCGTTGGAAGATGTATAGACAGAATTCTCCTTAGAAGTCAGAATGACGAGACTTTCTCATACTTTGGACATATTATTAGGAGGGACTAGTCCCTGGAGAAAGGGCATCATGCTTGGTAAAGTGGAGGGCCAAAAGGAAGGAGGAAGACTCCCAATGAGGTGGAGTAACACAGTGGCAGCAGCAGTGGGTTCAAGCACAATTGTGAGGATGATTTAGTACCAGGCAGTGTTTCCTTCTGTTGTACATGTGCACAGAACCAACTCAATGGCACAGAACATTGTTTTCATGGCGTATAAATTGCTAGAGTCTTTCAGCGTTTGAAGATGGCATTCTCTATCAGCCTCCATTTTCTCTTGAAGTATTTGTTGTGCCATCGAATTGGTTCCAACTCATAATGATTTTGTGTAGGGTTTCGGAGGTTTTAAATCTTTGTGGGAGCATAACCACCTTGTGAAATCTTTAATCAAATTTGGAAAATCTTCAACTATTACTTCTGCAAATATTGGTTCTGTCACATTTTTTTTCCTCTTTCTAGGATTGTACTTGCATGTGATAAGTTTTTTCAATAGATTTGCCTATGCCTGGCTTTTTTCTGTATCGTCTACCTTTTTATCTCTGCATGTTTTCTGACTTATTTTCTAGTGTACAGAGTCTCTCATAGCTGAGTTTATGTTGGGGTTAAGTGAATTCAGTTATTACATCTTTAAGTTTCAAATTTCTATATGGTTCATTTTTATCATTAATAGGCATGGTGTAGTGAGGCATTTAATGTCTCTTGTAGCCATCAGCTTTGTAAACTCCCACCAAACAATTTTTCCTGGTGGATCTGGGAAGGTGAAGCCTGGGGGAGAATGCTGATGATTCTGTTGTGAGTGACTGCTGGCAAGGTTATCATGAAAACTTGGAACTCTAACATGGGTGTAAAATGAGCCATCTCAGAAACATGATGGGGGAATCTCACACCATCAAAAAGAGACCAGAGTGGAGCTCATTCTTGAGACCTCAAGATCCCTGCACACTGAGCCTCCGAACTCTCAGGGACTAAAAGCTGTGACACCAGAGTGTGACAGAGGAGCAACAGCAGTGGTAGAACCAAGAGCCCCAGAGCATGAGACAGAGTGGTGGGATTCCCAGCCTATGGAGCAAATAAAGCTGGGCAGGAGGCTTGCTTTCAGAGTGGGGTGCCTCCAGGCACTTAATTGAGGGAGCTAGGTGTGCTGACCTAGGGAGCTAGAGCTGAGTGCCTTCAGGCTGAAGCTTATGATGGGGAGTGGTAGGCCTTTTGAGCATTCATCAACTGTCCTAAGAGAGTTTTGTAACATTGCCAGTGCAGGACAGAGGCCAAGCCAAGGAGCCAAAGACCAGAGAGGTCCTGCCTATGGGCATGGCACTTGAGAGGTGGTTGTGACTGGAAGACCTTTGCCCTGAACATTTTTGACCCTTCAGTTGTAACCTATTGATTTCCCTACTAATCCCCATAACTGTGAGCATGGTGTCTGGGTTCTGTGTGGCCATTGCAGTGCATTTCAAACCCAGAATGTGCCCTGGAAAGGATGGTTTGGTAACATTGTTTACAGTACGTCTCTGTAAAGAGTTTTGAATCGGCACCTTTCCTTGCACAGGTGTTCTGAATTGTTAAGTGCTCTCCAGTCATTTCTGACTCACAGTGACCCTGTATAGGGCGTCCAAGGAGCAGCCTGGTGGATTTGAATCACTCTAGTGCCTGTCCTACAGTGCTTCCAACATCATGTTCTGAATAGTTATTAGAAAGTTTGTGTCTAATAATTCTGTTATCCCATTTCCTTGTGGTTTTGTGTCTGTTGTTTGCCTTTCTTGTTTTCTGGTTAAGTCTGTAAGTCTCATATGGCTGATTATTTTTACTGGTAGACGTCATATATGAAAAGTCATTGAGGTAATTTGAAGCCTTGGATGATACTCTTTTTGAAAGGATTTATACTTGCCTCTGCCAGGGGCTTGGACATTAGCAAGCCAACATCACCTAATCCAACCAGGGATTGAGATGATTTAAAGCTAGACTTGATTCCTTGTCACTCAGGACAATTTGCAGCATGTCCTTCAGGGTCACAACCTAAATTGTGGGACTTGTCAGGCCCCTTTCTGGGACCCTAAACTCCAGGGTTTTTTTTTCCTAGCCCTCTTGAGCCTGTGAATTTTACTCAGTTTCCATGTTCTTAGTCCTGTAATTATTATGTTTGTCTACTTTTTATAATTTTCAGACAGAGTGTTAGTTTGAATTATATATACCCTGTTGTGGCACTGTGGGTTAATGCGCCAGACTGCAAAGCTGTTTGAACTGCAAGGTCGGTGATTCAAGCTCACCAGCTGCTCCTCCGAAACCCTATACAGGGTCACTGTGGATCTGAATTGACTTGACGGCATTTAACAACAACATCATTATAGAAATAGTGTTTTTATACAGTTTTACTAAAAGAGAGCCCCTTCATACATCAGTGACTTTACCAAAACTTACCTCAACTTCATTTTTATACGATTTAGTTTTTATTTTAGTTTTGGTTATTTTTATTTTTATGACCCTAAAACTATCTGATAAAGGAGCTTCTGTTAGTAATGGTTACGAATTGGGCTGTGAGCTGCAAGGTAAGCAGTTCGAAACTACCAGCTGTTCCGTGGGAGAAAGATGAGGCTTTCTGCTCCCGTAAAGATTTACAGTCTCGGAAACCCTGTACAGGGTCGCTATGAGTCGAAACCGACTTGACGGCACTTAACAACAACAACTGTCTGATAACAAGATGTGTATACCTGTAAATTTTTTATCTTATTCTTGCTGAGAAAATTGTTATTTTATTCTTGCTGAGAAAAACCCCATTCAGTAATTCCTACTTTTGCAGTTCAGTGACACTGATTCCATTGTTAGACTTGTACAGCATTCTTGCCTTCCTGTTACCAGTTGTTCCTCACTCCTTAACATAAACTCCCTTCCCCTATGACTCCCATCTAATCTTGAGTTGCTCTTGTCACTTTGGTCCCATATGTTGTTGTTAAGTGCTGTTGAGTTGGTTCCAACCCCTAGCAACCCTGTACAGCGTTTTTGAGGAGCAGCTGGTGAATTTGACCATGGACCTTTTGGTTCAAACTGACCTTGCAGTCCAGTTATATTTGCCTTTTTATATTTTGCTTCCATACATTTGCCTTACCCTACAGAACCACATATGTTGTTGTTGTTAAGTGCCGTTGAGTTGATTCCAACCCATAGCGATCCTCTAGAGGGTTTCCAAGGAGCGACTGGTGAGCTTGAACCACCAACCTTGCAGTTCAAACCAACTGTGCAGTCTAGCGCATTAACCCACAGCGCCACACCAGGACTCCACAGCGCCACATATAGATAGATCTTAAAAGAGCATAATGCTAAAGGCTGACCTTTTTAACTAGTAAGCTTAGCAATTTGGTTGTAAGAAGACTTCAGGGGATGTTTTTGATTTAGGTTTAAGGATTATCTCAGGGTAGTAGTTTCAGGAATTCATCCTGAAAGTTTGGGATTCATAATAATACGAAATTCTGTGTAGCATTTTTCCCTTTTGACCAGAATTTGTCTATAGGATCTTTGTCAAATATTCAATAATGATAGCTGTTCAGTTCTTTTGGTTTCATGGCAAAGGAGGCAGTTTTTCATGGAGACCACAGAACCCATTTTCTCCTCTTTATTCCTGATTTCTCTGTTGCTCCAGGTGGATAGACTGCTTGCCAACTAAGAGTTCCGGTCTAGGAGGGAGAACACATTAGGCCAATTAACTAGGATGTCCCATGAAACCATGACTCTAAACGTCCAAGTTAATGAACCAAATCCTATGCAGTGTTTGGATATACATAAGCAGCCTCAGCAACCTTTTTTTTTTTTTTTTTCATTGTTGTAAATATATCTATCCCACAGCTTATGTCAATTCAAGTACACAGTTTATTAACAGTACTTACCAACAATCAGCTGCAACATTCCTTAATAAATGCAATTTTTTTCCATCACCATAAATTAAAACTCAGTAAGCAATTAGCCCCAACCTCCTTTCGTTCGTTTTTCGTCCCCAACTCCCCACACCTGGTAACTACTAATAAACTTTGGTCTCCATACTTTTTTTTTTTTGGCCTTTTCTTAGCTTTTTATATTAGTGAGGTCATACAGTATTTGTTCTTTTATGATTGGCTTATTTTACTCAGCATAAATGTCTTCAAGCTCCATCTATATTGTAGCATGTTTCAAGACTTGCTTTATTGTGCTGGCAGAGTAATATTCCATTGTATGTATGTACCACAGTTTGGTTTATCCATTCATCTGCTGTTGGACATTTAGGTTGTTCCCACCTTTTGGCTACAGGTATCCTCCCTCTTCTTGAAAGTTAGTTTTATGCCAGTTCACTTTTATGAAAGACCTACATTAGTTCCTATTTTTGCAAATGGAAATAAATCCAAAGGGGATTTTTGCCCAACAAAAATAGGTGAAAAGTGAAACTAGCCATCAGCATTTGTTTTGCAGTGAGCCTGTTTTCAGCAAGCCATTAAAGAGACAGTACACACCCTGAGCAGCCAGAGAGGTGTTACCACAGGTCTTCCCTAAGAATTCTACTCATACAAAGCTATGAACCAATTGTGTGTGAATGAACACTTTATGTTCATGTTAGTTTGGGTATTATATATTTGGTGTGGTGTGGTAGAGTGTTTTTTGGGTTTGGGAACTCTCCATTTTTTCCCAATCTATATCAGGAGCCCTGGTAGCATACATAGTAGATTACAAGCTGGGCTGCTAACTGTAAGGTTAGTAGTTCAAATCATGCCAGCTGCTTTGCAGGAGAAAGATGAGGCTTTCTGCTTTCGTAAAGATTTACAGCTTGGGAAGCCCTATACAGAGTCGCTATGAGTCAGAACCACTTGTTGACACCTAATCACCAATTAATGGTAAATGCTTCTTCTTCACTTTACGCCATCTTAGCTGAAGAAAGATCTCAGAGGAATACTTCTTTCTGGTAGCAAGGGAAACCTATAATGTGAATAAGTGCCTCAATGAATATCGGTATATACATCTCTGTTTGAGTCTCTGCTTTCAATTCTTTTGGGTATACATCTTAAAGTGGAATTGCTGGGTCATATTGCAGTTCTGAAGTCATGGTGTGACTTTGTAGGATAAGCACTGAACTGCTAATTACAGGGTCGGCAGCTCAGACCCACCCACTCAGCTGCTTCTTGGAAACCCTATCCAGGGATTCTATGAGTTGGAACTGACTCGACACACAACAAAAATTGCAGTTCTATTTTTAGTCTTTTTGTGGACCCACCACAGTTTTCCACAACGATTGTTAAATGTACACATTCTTATAGACTATACAATATGAAAAATGTTCTTAAAATTAATTGCACTTAATTTACTTTTTAGGATAATTTTCCATTTGATCCTCCCTTTGTTCGGGTAGTGTTACCTGTTCTCTCAGGAGGGTAAGTTTGATTATTTCTTTAATTTCATATATCAGAATCATTTGGAGGTTTAGTTAAATACAGATTGCTAGGCCTTATCCAAAGTTTCCGATTCAGTAAGTCTGGGGTGGGGCCAGACAATTTGCGTCTCTAGGGAGTTCCTAGGTGAAGTTGATGTTGATTTTGGGACCACTTTTGGAATAATTGGTATAAATCAGTATATTTTTATGGATGAAGGTTTTAATGGCTTCTATTTACATTTCACCATAAAAAAAAATTAAATGTTTTCCAAACATAAGTTGTGATTTATAGTTTAGATAAAGTTGTAATTAGTACATAATTCCCACATGCCTGTGATTCTGATTGATGGCAACTTCTAGATTACTTTCTATTCAAACCCTTACTCAAAAAGGAAAAAAAAGAATCAATAGAAGAACTGTAAAAAAATTTTTTATAAGTGTATGCAAATATTCTCATCATCATTTTGAAATTTCATGTAAAATTGGCTAGCATTAAGTTATTCATTTGTGTGTGTATGAGAAGTCCCCAGGACAATAGTTTGAACAGTCTATGATCTTGAGTGGTGTCCAACTGGTTGCTGAGAGAAGCACATGAAGCTATAAGTAATGCCACTTTCACTGTTCAGTCTTTTATATACTTTCTCTCTATTGGTCCCTTTTGTCATAATGGTTACTAGCCTCATTATTCAGATGAATTCTTTGAATCATAAGTCAACTTGTGATCTATCCATATAACTCTCTGGCTTCTAATAAAATACCCTTGAGTAACACCGGATTAGAGCACTGACCCCATGTAATCAAATATCTGTGTATAATTTTTAACACCCCAAAATTTAAGTACTGTTGGCCATAAGCCTTACTGATAACACATATTTTTATATATATTAATATGTATTACTTACTGTGGTCACATAAAAGCTGCATTTTCAATGTGAGATAAAAAATATTTTGCAAAAAGTACAAGGTTTTCTTGCCTGCTGCAGTGATACTTTCACAAATGATCTTTTGTTTGACGATGGCCCTTCTGGATTCATTTCTCTTGAAATGGCAACTGCAGCTGAAGACCTCAATCTGCTGTACATACCAAGCAGTTGAACTTTTTCTTCTAACGTTGTGACTTTTCTCTGCTTTTTGGGAGCCCTTTCATTATTACTTGTGGCAATTTGATGATATTCAAGGTTTGTGATCTTGCACTAAACATGATGCAAAACATGATGTAAGAATCGTAAGAGATCACTTTTTACTGTGTGATATATCTTACTGGAGGTACCAATTGTTCATGCAGAGATGATTAGCATCACTGATGAAAATCCAAGTTGTTCAAAGATCAACTGTATTTTCTCTTACACCAAAAATATAAAAGAATATTAAAAGTACTAAGTAATCTGTTGATTGTCAACTGTCAATCTTAAACTTAAGTTCTCTGCTGTTAAAAGAAAATGGAGTTGGCTTTTGGCAATAGTGATGTGAGAAGATGTTATGAGGAGGTAGGGTCTAAGCTGGGCCTTGAAAAATGAATTGGTCTTGTCTGTTGTTGAAGATATAAAGGAAAATTTTCCATGTAGGCAATGGAAGTATACACAGTCACATATATAGGAAAAAGAGTATAATGCATCATACCCAGTGTGTGGTGGTGGTGAGCCATCGAGTCCATTCTGACTCATAGTGACCCAGGATAGGGTTTCCAAGACTGTAAATCTTTATAGGAGCAGAAAGCTTCATCTTTCTCCCACCGAGCGGCTGTTAGATACAAACTGCTTTCATTGTACAAGGGTGATTCAAAAATTAGCTGAACTCTGCTTGGTGGGTTCTGACTCATAGCAACCCTGTAGAGGGTTTCCGAGGATGTAAGTGTTTTTGGGAGCAGAAAGCCTTATCTTTCTCCCATGGAGTAGCTGGTAGATTTAAACTGCTGACCTTATTATTGTTGGAAGCTCAGCTCCTAATCCACCACACTACTACCTGGCTGTAGAATGTATTTCAATCAACTTTTAGAAAAGACAAATATATCATGTTTCAACATAATCTCCTTGCTTTTCAATGCACATTGTCCATCTGTCAACAGCTTTTGTGTTCCCTTATTAAATGTTTTTGGCTGATCTGCAAGCCATGAATGTACTGCTGTCTTCAATTCTTCATCAAAAGTGAATCTTTGTCCTCTAAGGACTGCTTTCAGGGGACCAAACAGTGAAAGTCAGATGGAACAAAATCAGGGTTTTAGGGAAGGATGCCTTTTCAGCTTAAAACAAAATTTTTGCAGAGTGTCAATATTGTGGGCAGAAATATGCAGTTGTGCATTGTCATGCAAGATCACAGTGCCCTTGGATAACAGTCCGCTGCGTTTAATCCTAAGTTTAGGCTTCAGTTCTTCAGTGAGCATCTCAGTGAAATAAACACTGCTGATTGTTGAACCTTTTTCCTGATGGAATTCCAATACTGGCCCTTGAGAATCCCAGAAAACTGTAAGCATCAATTTTCCAGCTGATGGTTGACTTTTGAATGTTTTCTTGGTTGACCATTGAGGATGTTTCCATTCCATACTCTGCTGTTTACACTCAGGCTCCTAGTGATGAGTCCTTGTCTCAGTAATGATTTTTTAAAAAAGAAACTTAGCTTCCTTCAAGTTATGGGTCCAAATTTTGTTTGCTGATATCCAAATGCTTCTGTTTATGTTTTTCTGTGAGTTGGTTCGGTGTTCATGTGACACAAACTTTTTGAAGCCCAAGTCTGTTGGGGATTATTTCATTGGCAGTGCCATGGCTGATTTGCAAATAATTTGTCACATAATCCATTGTCACTCGTCTACTCAACAGAATCATTTCACATGCACACTCAATGTTGTCATCAGCAGTATTTGGATGTTTCAGTATAACTAGAGTGCTGACAGTTGTTGACTCTCCCGTGTGTGTGTGTGTGTGTGTGTTTGTTGTTAAGTGGAACATATATACATATGGAATTTTGGTGGTGTAGTGAATTACACATTGGGCTGCTAGCCACAAGATCAGAAGTTCAAATCCACCAGCTGCTCTGTAGGAGAAAGGTAAGGCTTTCTGCTCCTGTAAAGATTTATAACCTCGGAAGCTATATATAGGGTTGCTATGAGATGTGTGTGTGCCTGCCATCGAGCTGGTTCTGACTCATAAAGACCCTGTATAACATTTCCAAGAGGAGTTGGTGGATTTAAAGTGCCTATCTTGGGGTTACCAGTCTAGTGCTTATCCTATACATATGTGTGTTTATACATTGTTCTAGTTAAGTGCTTTCTGTCAACTTGACTGGGTTAGGATTCTTAGTGGTTTTGCAATTTTAGGACATAGTGATCCCCGATGATGAGACCTTCTATGAGCAGCAAACATGTGTATATAGTGTGTATACTATGTGTTTATATATGGAGTTCTGGTAGCATAGTGGTTACAGGTCGGACTGCTAACCTCACGGTCAGCAGTTCGAAACTACCAGCGGCTCCGCAGGAGAAAGATGAGACTTTCTGCTCCCATAAAAATTTATAGTCTCGGAAACCCTATACAGAGTCACTATGAGTCGGAACTGACTCCACAGCACAGAACCACCACACCACCATATCTATCTATCTGTCTGTCTATCTATCTATCTATCTGTCTATCTATCTATCTATCTATCCATCCACATATTTTTAAAGCTTTTATTGTGCTCTGAATGGTAGTTTACATGGGAGAACAACAATTTTGTACTTATCATGTTTTATTTCATATCACTGCAACAATTACAATCCCTTCCATGCATCACCATTCAACAGTATTTACTTTAGTTCCTCTGTTTTGTTATTTTTTTGATGTACACAAAAACACTCAGGGATATATAATCATTTTTTAAAAATCAAGGGCACATTCTGCAAGCCTGCTGCTAGTCACCAGCACACAGCCTTTCTCTTTTCATGAGTCTAGAGTCCTCAGCTGCTCTAGCTAGCTCTCGATGTCATCATACTTGCCTCCATCCATGGTGTCGCTTCTTCTCTGGGTAGGGTCCCATATATGTGTGTGTGTGTGTGTGTGTGGTTTTAAAGCACAAATTATATACCTAGAGCTGTGCTGTGTCAAGAGGAGCAACATGACTTGGTTGACGGAAGTGAGAAATCCTACATGGCAAAGAATGAGGTGATAATGATGACAAGAGAAAAATAAACCCACATGGTAGTAGAGATCGTTTAAAGTCAAGCAAAGAAACTGGGGCCCAATATCATGTTAGACCACCACCCATCAGTTTGTCATACTGTGGTGGCTGACATATTGCAGTGTTGCTGGAAGATATACCATCAATATATCAAATACCAGCAGGGTCACTCAGGATGAACAGGTTTCAGCAGACTTTACAGACTGTGATTTGACTAGGAAGAAAGGCCTGAGGATCTACTTCCAAAAATTAGTCACTGAAAAGCCTAGAGATTACAACAGAATATTGTTTGATACAGTGCTGTAAGGAAGATGAGCCTCCTTGGTTTGAAGGCACTCCAAACACAAAGTGGCTACAACAGAGCTGAGCAGCATATCAAAGATTGTGCAGATGGGGCAGGATCAAGCATGTTGTTCACGGGGCCACATGACTCCATGGCAACTCCTCAAAACAGCATCCTGTTAGGAAAAATAATAACCAACAACTCTTAGGAGATGAAACTAACCCAGGTCAGAGGCAGCAGATCCTAACTGTTGTTGTTATGTGCCATCGAGTTGGTTCCGACCCATAGCGACCCTGGATAGGGTTTCTGAGAGGAGCAGCTAGTGAGCTTGAACCGCTAATCTTGAAGTTCAAAACGGCTTTGCAATCTTGTGCATTAACCCACAGCTCCACACCAGGACTCCAGATCCTAACTAGGGCATGGGTTATCTATCTATGGAAGAGAAGCAGAGCGGTCGCCAGCTAGTTGGACGAAAGGGCTGAGGGAATTGAATTGAGACTGTTTGTAGATGGAAGACCTAATTTACTGAAACTGGGGAAGATCGCTATGCATCTGTATCAACTGGACAG